GCCATCGGTGTGGAGCAGGGTGGCTCTGGGAGAGGTGTTCACTTTGTTCCTTGGGATGAATGTCATTAATACCTGATGTGGACTTTGCCCAGAGAGCCTTCTGGAAAGCTCGGGGGGTTTGGGATGCACAGCTTCGCCCGACAGACGGAGATGTAGAACTTCAGGTGGTGCCCAGTTGTACAGCAGTGGTTTGAAGGTGACAGTCCTGCCCTAAATTAGTTTGGATTATCAGGTGCCAACAGTGAATYAGAGAATCATGGAATGGTTTGGGTTGGAAGGGACCTTAAAGGTGATCCAGTTCCACCCYTSCCATGGGCAGGAACACCTTCCCCTCTTCCAGGTTCTAATCCTTGGACACTCCCAGGGATGGGGCAGCTTCTCTGGGCARTCKGTGCCAGGGCCTCACCTCCCTCACAGGGAAGAATCTTTTCCTTGGTAATCACGGATTTGGATCAGGACAGCCTGGAGATGGTGTTGCACTTGGGTTTTTGTGGATATTTTTCTCTCTTTTCCAGAGAGAAAATCCAGCATCTCGGTGTCATTGCTGTGATTGGATTGATCCCCTGTGAAATCTGTGAAATACAGATTTTAATCAGGGTCACAAAAATGTCTTCTTTTTTTCTCTTTCCCAAATAACTTTTCAAACCAGGAATGCAGTGGATTTGGGTTTTTCTTGAAGGAACTCCTTGTCCATGTGCATCTTCACAGTGCTGCCATGGTGAGGATTCCCTGCAGTCAGGCCCAGCTCCCTTCGCAGCAGCTCCATCTCTGCCTCTTGGTCCTTCCCAGGTTTCTTGCTGCAGAAGGGAGAAACCCAAATCTTTGTTTCCTGATGCTCACAGCAGAGGACAGGCTGATATCTGAATTTGGAAAGTAGGGCAGCGAGAAATCCCGGGCAGAGCATGGCAACAGCCTCCTGCTGAAAGGGGAGAGTCAGGCATTCAGTTACTCCTGTTGTGTGTGTGGTCCTGGGAGCCAACTTTCCTTCTCCCCTTCCTTGGATATCCCCCCAAAGGCAGGGAGGTGACAARYGCTTCAACTTCCCCGGTGTTCACCRGCACTGAAGGAAGTGAGGTGTAAACTCTGCCTGTGTCAGCATTCCCGAAAATCTGCCCCCAGTGCAGAGGGGACCCACGGCACAGGGAAACCTGCAGACAATGCCTGCTTTGTCCCCTCCCTGCTCCTCGGGCGCCGGGAGATGCTGAGTCCAAACATTTAACCACAAAATGCATTAATTACCATCCAGCTCCCTGGGGGAAGGACCATATGCCAGTAACCAGGGGGGTGAAAAAAAAAATGAAGAAACACGGAAAGTCCATTGATTGTTAAATGACTCCCAACTGCAATTACTGCCACTGAAAGTTCCTGATGAACTTTTCCTAGAAACATTGAGCTCTCCAACCCCTGTGCTTGGTCSGTGGAACAGAGGAGTGACCCAGAAATTATGGGATGAAGTCACGTTCCCCTGTAACGCCACGGGCTGTGTGCTGTGTGTGCCTCAGCCCACAGCAGAGCTGTTTGCCTGGGGTTGCTCCCCAGTGAGCTCCAGGCTGGCTCCACACACTAATCCTCAGGTTTGGCATCCAGCACGGATGGAAGTGAGTGATCCAGGGACAGCTGGTGGGGAATCACAGCAAACTGCAAACAGTCTGACACCAGCACAAGTTGGGTTTCCCCCGCACTCCTTGGAAATCTGGCGGGTTCTGCCCTTCCAGCAGCTCTGAAAGCAAACTCTGCTCGATGCAGGGCAATAAAAGAGGAATGAGCCATCACAAAATCATCCCTCCCAGGTGGCAGGGGATGGATGGAGCCCAAAATCCTGCTCAGTGCCTGGATGGGAGGAGGAAGGAAAGTGGAACTCYTGGGGTTACTCTGCTCAGGGCATCTGTGTGGGCTGGGCCTGCAGTGGCTGCGCTTCTGCTGCTGCATCCCAGCCCAGGATCCCGAATTAGCTCTGGAATGGGAATGCTGGTATTTTTAAACYAGGGTGTGTCATCCTGCCTTTCCTTTAATAGGTGGCCCTGGGCAGGTTCTTCCCCCAGCTGAGTCCAGCAGGGCTTTAAGGAGMTCTAATGAACCCGACAGTCAGGACAAGCTCCCAGCCACAGCCAGCACTGGATGCTCTCCTTCCAAACTCCCTCAGCACCYTTCTTCTCTCAGCAGTTTCATGATAATTTAAAAAATGGGATGTTCATAAATGTGGTCCCACTGAGTCACAACATGACCTGAGTGCTGAGCTCCTCCCGAGCCTGAAAAACTCCCTGTGGAAATAAAAACCCATTTKAGATCCCTGGGGTCAGTGTGGCAGCAAATTCCACTGGAGAAACACACACAGCCAGGGCAGGAGAGGGCCTGCTTTGATATCTTTAACATCTGATGCTTCCAGTTTCAAAAGCACTTGGAAAGTTTGAGATGGAAAAATATCTGCAGAAAGGCCAAATGTGCTGGAGAAATGAAACAATCCCACGTTATTTTGCTKCTCTGCCAAATGGGAACGAACCTCCTGAATGCAGCATAAAATAATATTGAGGGAGTGACCCACTGAGCACACGTGGGGGGCCAAAATTGCTTTGTTCCCACTCCCAGGCTTGGTGCAAATTTAGCTTTGAGTAAGTCACTGAACTTTCCTGACTCATTGCTCACCGCTGTTAAAGGTGGGTGATGCTCATTTCCCTATGGGTTGTTAGGAGCACTGGTGATTTATTATGTAAAGCGTGGACAAATTAAGTGTAAGTGTTATTAAAAAAAATAATCCAGAATAATACAAGCAGCAATTACTGAAGGAGGAAAGATTTGAGAGCTTTCAAGACTGTTTTGAGCATYGTTAGAGGTTTCGTTTGAACAGGGAACATGAGGGGTTTGGTAAGTGGCAGCTGGAAACCAGGAAAATGTCATCTGAAAGTGAAATAATTGAAAAGATATTAAAGCAGAGCCAGAGCTGGTGCGGCTGGGTATAAATGAAATAAGCTATTAGCTGCTCTGTGAGATCCCAGCATGGGAGAGCTTTTGTTAGAGCAGAAATGCAGCAGTGGTGAGGGAAAAACAGCCCTGGCAGCTCCTTTGTGGGGCTGGGGAAACATAAAAAGGCCTCGAGTGCCTCACAGACCTCAAATTTGTTGCTCTACACCCACCTTTGTGGGCGCTGTGGGAGAGCTGTTTCTTTGTGCTAAACCATTGCCTGTTCACGAGCAGGTGGGTCTGTGCTGAGGGGAGCCTTGGAAAGTACTGCAAGTTTGACAAAACCCTGTGGTTTTAAACTTTTTGGTGAAGCAGAGAAGAAGGCTCAGTCGTCAGCTGAGAGGAAGTACCTGGCTCAGCGTTCCTTGTCCTGGATTTAGGACTCAGCTCCTGTCCTGTCCTTTCCCAGCAGACAGAGGATGCAACTTTCCTTTGCCTCTCGTTAAACCAGTTCCTGAATTCACGTTTGGCCCCAACTGGTGCAAATTTCTTACTCTGCCAGAAAAGTGAATGCAAAGCCTSAGACAGACGCTTGTGGAATGTCTCTGTGACAATCCCATGTAAGGGAAATTTCTTTCCTTCCCTTCTGTCCCACCCATRTTCCAACAACAACAACGGTGGGATGGTGTCCTTGGTGGTACAGGCTGCAATTAATTAACGGGTAATTAGTGAGGGAGGTTTCTGGCCGGGGCTGGACTGCACAGCCCCACATCGGTTTGGTTCCAGTGACACATCGATTTCCAGCCCAGACTGTCCCACCCCGTGAATCAGCGAGATTCCTTGGACTCTAAACCAAACAGAGACAAATATTCTCCTGGTTCCCGGGGAACTGGGGCTGTCCAGAAGCTGCAGGAATGGGAATGAAAAAGGACTTTGTCACATCGGTGGCCCAGCCCTATCAACACCGGCGAGGGGCTCACAGCAGTTTTTCCTGCTCCAGATGAATTCAAGGGCATTCAAAGCCGATATTTGCGTAAATGCATCCGGTTATGCAGAACTGAGGGCAGCCAAATGCCTGGAGAGAGAAAGAGAGAGAGAGRAGGTTTTGTCATTAGCGGTGGTAACCATTCCATGTGGAGCCATCCCGGGCTGCATTTGGSTACAAATTACAGGGAGGCTCATCCCGGGTCACAGACGGCATTGAAGTCACTCGGTGCCACCTCGGGGGATGCCACAGCCCCGGCCTGCCCTGGGAACGGCTCTGCCGAGACGCTCAGGTGCAGCTCCACTCAGACTATTAAAAATACAGTCTGGGCTTCCAAAAAAACAAAAAAGCAAGCACTGGGAGTGAGGGCAGGAGACATAAAAGCCRCTCTGTTCCCGAGGGCTGGGCTCCACAGGCGTGAAGCCGCATGGGGAAAATGTGATGGCGGGCTCTGCTATTTTGGTGGAAAGGCTGGAAAAAGCGCYGTTTCCTTTCGTTCTGACGTTTCAYCCMSTTCTCCCGCRCATTTTTGTGTCCRGCTCCTCAATCCCTGACCTTAATAGTGAGGAGAAAACTACGCTGGAGACTCAACTGCCTCTTCACCCTGCCAGGAAAGGAGCTTTTTGTGCTGCTCTGCAGTGGTGGGTCCGTGAGGGGGAAGTTTCTGGATTTTAAGCTTTTCCTTAAGGGTTTGGCGGGCTGAGGCCATGGTGGGGGAGATGCATACCCCGATCCCCTCCCCGGGGCTGGCAGCGCTCCGGGCCGCTCCCAGACGTTGTCACCGGGAGGTGTCTCACGCCGGGGGCGCCCCTGGCTGACACGGGGGTGTCCCCGCCGCCATGGGGGGAACCGCGGGGTGTCCCGTCCGTGAGGGGACGCGGCGGCCACAGAACCGGAGCTGCCCCCTCAGAGCGGTCCCCTCACAGAGGCCACGCCCCCTCGGAGCCCCGCCCCCTCGGAGCCACGCCCCCTCGGAGCCCCGCCCTCCCTCAGCGCTGCCGGGCATTGTCCCCTCAGGGAGACCACGCCCCCTCCCCATCAGACCACGCCCCCTCAGGGGTCCCGCCCCCGCGCGGCCCCGGCGGGTTCAGTGCGCGGGGCGGGGCCGCTCTCAGTCGCGCGCAGGGCGGGTGAGGGGAGCGGAGCGGAGTCGCCGTCCCGGCTGTGGCAGCGGCGGGCGAGGCGAGGCGGGGCGGGGGCTGCAGCGGGAGCCAGAGCAATGGCGCTGTCCGTACCGGTCAACGGGCTGAAGGAAGGCGACAAGGAGCCCGTCATCGAGCTCTTCGTCAAGGTACGGCCGTGGGGAGGCGAAGGAGGGGARGGGAGATGGGGCGGGGGGAGTTTTGTCCCGTCTGGGCGCCGAGCGCGCGCGCGCCGCGACCGTTGGGCGCCCCCCCCCTCCCCTCAGGGCGCTTTCCCGCCCGGGGGGCTCCGAATCCCCTCACGGCTCCCTCGGGCCGCTCCCTTCAAACCCCGATCCCCGCCCGCCTTTTCCCCCGGCACGGCGCGGGGAGCCCCTCGCAGCACCCCMGAACATCCCGCGGACACAGGGGGGGCTCCCGTCGGGGCGGCTCCCGGCGCGGTGCGGGCACAAAAGCGGAGCCGAGGGCGTGTGCCCGGCGCCGGGAGGGAGTGCGGGAGTCGCGGTGAGTCAGAGCGCGCCGATGGAGCGGCCGATAGCGCGGCCGGACCGCAAGCAAAGTCACTTTTTGGGATAAAGTGCGGCCGCCCCGGATGCGTTTTGCTGGAAGATTCCCTGCCCGGAGATGAGGGTGCCGCGGGTGCGGGGCAGCACCGCGGGCAGCGCTGGCACAAGGGGAAGAGCCGAGCGCCACAATGGATCGCCCTCGCCCGGCATTGTGTGCCCAGCAAAGCGCAGGAAGGCGGCAAAAAAAGCCAGAAAAGCCACGAGTTACTCGTCGCTCCCCGCCCAGAAAGTCTACTTTTTATGTCAGGAAGCCGATATGTAAAGGAACACCAGGTTTTTATCCAAACTAGAAGAAGGAGCATGTGTTCTACTGCCCTTATCTGGCAAAGATACCATATGGTATCTCCACATGTTTTGCATTCATTTATTGCTGTATGATGCAATATTTTGCATCCTCCGGGGCTCTGGTGATGCAGCATCTTACTTTTACTTCATATCAAAAGTAACACCAATTACTCTGTGCAATCTTCTCTTTCTGTGCTTAAACATCCTTTAATGAAAGCCTCTTCAGAAAAGTATTTAAATTCTTCAGATGAAGATTCTTCCAGTTGCAATGAGAAAATCKGAGATCTCTTCATCTGGAAGCTTGGAAATTGCTTTGTATAAAAGCCACGATGACAAACATGAAAATTTCCAGCTAGAGCTTTGGAAATAAGTTATTAAATATAGGATTTTAATTCTTAAATGTGTTAAATTTTKCCTCCATTCCAAGAGGCAGTAACGGGACCCAGACAGAGCAGTGGTGGATTCCAGACCTGATTTTGGTCAGAATATTTAGGCTCATAGTGTAGAGGTTAGAACTTAAAACTGCAGCAATTAAGTTACAGATTACTTTGAATTATTTATAGATCTTTAATATAACTTGCTGATTTCTCTTCATCCATCCTAAAGTTCATTGACTGTTTTTTTCTTATTTTAAAACAAATTGGAGCAGTGATTGATGGCAGAATGATTTGGGGGCAGGGGAAATAAGCTTTGTGGGTGTGTTTAAAGAGAATATTTCATGCATGAGGAGTGGCATGGAAGAAGCTGTAAAAATAGTTTTGAGAGAGATGTGTTCGTTCAGATTAAATCAGAATTGAGCCAATAAAGCTGTGAGATTATACGAAAGGGGGAAATCAGGGATTTTTTGTGCCCATTTCTATTGAAACTTCTCTGTTGGCTTGGGTTTAAGAAGGCTAAATTTGGGTTATCAGTGAGGATTTTTTCCCTCAAGGAAACCTTTTYCCAGTGTTATGGATGACTGCTGCATGCTGAGCACTGCCTGCCCTAAGGATAAAGTTCAGGKTAAAATAAGAAGTTGTTCTTGACTGCCTTCCTGATCTTCAGGTAGAGGTTATTTCCCTGTAAAATCCTTCAGATAAAGGCCAACCCACAGCCTCAGCAGACAGACCAAAACAGTTGTTGCAGCTGGGTGTTCCTGCCTGTCCTTCACTTTATTGAAGCTGTTCAGGATTATCAGGACAACATTTTTGTAAAGCAAATAAAATMTTGTTTTCTGACTCATTTAGATGCTCCCTTCAGAAAATGCAAGCAGAATATGTTAATTGAAGAAAACCAACAGTGTCTGTCTAGAGGAGCACTAAATTTGGATTTTAGTGATTATTTCTTTTCCTCTCTCAGTGGGATGTTCAGCTGCARTTTTTTCACGTGGTTGTGGCTGCAATCTAGAAAAAATATGAAATTCCTGAGCGTTTCTCCACTTAGATAATCACTTTTCAATCCTGTCTGGGATCTACCTGTGTACTGTTAGCCATGGAAACTCTTCAGGCAGAGGTTCTGGACTAAAATCGAGCTCTCAGCCCAACGCCCGCGGCCCAAGGGCGGTGACTGCATGACCTGAGCACAAAGGATTGTAGCAGCCAGACTGAGATGAAACAAAGGTAGGGATTAAAGCTTGAGAAACAAACCTGTGAAGCAGGAGAAACGGTCTGGCTCYGTGCCCAAAGTGTGGGGTTTGAGCCTTATTAAATTGTGATCAGTAACAAAATAGGATGGGCACGGGGTGGGGAGGAGCACATGGCTGGGTTGCAGTTCCGAATAACTTTATCAGGGTGTTGTCACCAGCACATTGATACATTGTCCAGTAGAAAAAATCGTATCAATCTGCTGTTACTTGTATTTTCATAGTCTGTGATAACTCCAGGCACAATTAGGGTACTTAGGTGAGAAAATTGGTGTCACAATGAGAACTTTGAGCAGTTTTTCATTCCAGAGCCAGTGGGCTGCCCGTGGTCTCTTTTAAGACAACTGTAAATATTTTTGAASTCTTTTCTCTTGAGAGCTGATTAGGAGAAAGCAATGATGTATCTGATTTCATTTARTTTGCTCGTATGTTCCATGTTTTATTAATGAAGGAGGCTTCCATTGTCTAACAGGAATATTTTTATGTGCCCTAGTGGCATTTCAGAGCACTGAAGGCTGCATTGTGGTGAATGTGCTCGGAGAAACTTGAGCTCTGGGATCTGAATGCAGCTCAGATAGGTCACTTGTAATAATAGCTGCACTTTAGTTACTGGTGTGTGGAATTTTATTGTAAATAAAAAAAACGTTGTGAAGTGTCTTGGGCAAATAGACCCGGTCAGCTGTGGAAATCACAGGACAGAGTTACAAAACTGCAGTTCTGTGAGGATGGAGCTGCTGGGATCTCAGCCCTGGGTGTCCTGGAGGGCACTCAGTGATTGCATCCTCTGCTAATACCGAGGTGAAGACACAGAGGGTCAACAAGGTCAGCGTTAAAGGRAACAAACACCAGACTGCACAAACAAGAAACTCCCAGTCGAGTATCTGCTGGCATGGGATGGGTTAGAGCAGATGTAGGGGACCATTGAGGAAGGTCTCTCCACGGAGTAACGTGTGTGTACTTGCTAATTAATCAGACMTTGGATTTCTGGCAGCTCTCAAATAAGATGTCATTGCGAAATTGGGCACCTGGGTTGAAAATCAGATAGAGTCTACTATCTGTTTACCTTTGAATTGTACTGTCAGTAAAAAAAACCAGCTGTGATTTCACATTTCATAAATACCCCACTCTGAAASAGTCCCAGTGAGTGTAGCAGAAGCCTGTCTCCGTTTTTGTATATCTGAACCAAACAGAGATTTGGCAGGTGAACTGTTTGYCTTCCGGGCTCGGGGTCTGTTTTGTTCAGTGAAAGGGGCAGGAAGGGGATGTGCAGATCTCCAGCAGCAGCAGCTCCCTGCGAGCTCAGGGCTGGGCAGAGGAGGCTGATTTGTGAGGATTCAGGTCTGCCTTTGTCTCACCCTGTGCTCATTCCCTTACGTAAGCTCTGCTGTGTCACTCTGGAGCCCTATAGCTCTGTACATCGGTTTGTAACAAAACATCCCATGAGCTTTTTTGTCATCAGTTTTTTTTTTTTCACCCACAATGTGACTGTACAATTTAAAGGCACATTTGTACAAGGAAATAACAGGACTGGAGACATGCAGTGCTGCTTCTCAGAGATAGTCTTGTCAGGGTTATTGCTTGATAATCTTATTAGATAAGTCTCCTCCTTATGCACCAGATCATCCTTGSAGGGTTTGCTGTAACCTCAGCAGCTGAGAACCTCCTCAGCCTGTCTTTAATATGTGTTTGGTGTAGACAGCAAAATGTCATGTGAGCGTTGTTTCTTGGGAGCGTTGTAAAGGAGCCCTTTGTAAAGTGAGGTGTAACCATTTTGTTATATCCTGTGCTCAGTGGGTATAAATCAGGCCTTTTCCTTCTGTAGCCAGCAAACTGTAATTCCTTTAAATTCTGCCTGGGAAAGTTCTCACAGACAAAAACATCCTCAGCCTTTTGAATTGAGTCTGGTTGGCCATAAAGAAACTGATGCACTTAGTACAGATTTGTTTAAAAGTACAGAGGTGGTCTCAAGAGTAAATGTTAATTTTCTTTTTTTTTGCAAATCATTGGTAAGTAAGCTTAAAACCTCTYGGCAATAATTTCCAGAGGGATTACACACATGAGTTAGCTTTCCTTCAGTCAGGAATTGCTTCTGAGTGATGGTTGTATTCCCTGGCATSCCTTCTCTCCTTCCCAAAGATGAACATCCTGACAGTTCTGATTGTCAGGAGAACTTGTGTTTGACTTTCCACTGAAATACATCTTAACACTCAGGCACTTTTCCTCCTTTCCCCTCAGAGGGATCTAAAATGGTTGAGTTCCCAAATTTGCACCCATGGCTGTGGGATGGGCTGGACAGCCATGGGCAGTGGTGTTTGTGAGTCACTCCCTCCATGGGTCAGATGCCATGGATGCATTCCTGGAACACAGATCCTGCTACAAAAGACAAATCTGTCCTCAGATTTCCCAGCTGGGGTTTCTCAGGGTGTGCAYTGAASGCTTGAAGTAGGAGAAAAAGCCTGMRTGWCAGAGCACATGTTGTGGGGCAAACTTCAGGGCCTGGGGGCTGTCAAAAGTCAGGAATAAACGAACATTGAAAATCCGAGCCTTGTCCTGATGCTTTTGTGTGTCAGTCTGTGACAGGGTGAGTTCACAAAGCAGGGAAAGGCATCATGAACACCAGCATGAAGAGAATRAGAATCCTCTTTAAAGAGAGTTTTGTGTGGACATAACGACAGTT